TGCGAGACTTCCTTCCAAACTCCATCGGCAACTCCTCCGCCAGCACCACTTGCAATGCCATTTACAGTAGGGGAACGATCCTAGAGTTGCAAATCACAATGCAATTCCATCAGCAACTCATCCACCAGCACCACTTGCATCCCATTTACAATGCGGGAACGATCCGACAGTTGCAAATCACAATGGAATTCTGTCGACCACACATGCACGAAAAACAGTTGAACCCCCATTTACAATGCGGAACCGATCCGACCATGATCCGAACATATCCGAGCATGATCCGACCACACACGAGACCGTCTCGCACCCGTCGCACCGCAGAGGTAGATCATCGAGGTTCGGGGACGGACTTTGTATGGGAAAACATAGGGTTTCGTGCATCTGCTATCTCTCAAAAACGCATTTCGTGCGAGACTTCCTCCAAAACTCCATCGGCAACTCCTCCACCAGCACCACTTGCAATCCCATTTACAGTGAGGGAACGATCCTAGAGTTGCAAATCACAATGGAATTCCATCGGCAAGGCAACTCATCCACCAGCACCACTTGCAATCCCATTTGCATTGCGGGAACGATCCTACAGTTGCAAATCACAATGGAATTCTGTCGACCACAAATGCACGAAACACAGGTGACACCCCATTTACAATGCGGAACCGATCCGAGAATGATCCGACCATGGTCCGAGACCGATCCGACCACACACGAGACCGTCTCGCAACCGTCGCACCGCAGAGGTAGATCATCGAGGTTCGGGGACGGACTTTGTATGGAAAAACATAGGGTTTCGTGCATCTGCTATCTCTCAAAAACGCATTTCGTGCGAGACTTCCTCCAAAACTCCATCGGCAACTCCTCCAAAACTCCATCGGCAACTCTTTCCCTCACTAACTCTTTCTTTGACTAACTCTTTCTTTGACTAACTCTTTCCCTCACTAACTCTTTCTTTCACTAACTCTTTCCCTGACTAACTCTTTCTTTGACTAACTCTTTCCCTGACTAACTGTTTCTTTGCTAACTCTTTCTTTGACTAACTCTTTCCCTCACTAACTCTTTCTTTGCCTAACTCTTTCCCTGACTAACTCTTTCTTTGACTAACTCTTTCCCTGACTAACTGTTTCTTTGCTAACTCTTTCTTTGACTAACTCTTTCCCTCACTAACTCTTTCTTTGCCTACCTCTTTCTTTGCTAACTCTTTCTTTGACTAACTCTTTCCCTGACTAACTGTTTCTTTGCTAACTCTTTCTTTGACTAACTCTTTCCCTCACTAACTCTTTCTTTGACTAACTCTTTCCCTCACTAACTCTTTCTTTGACTAACTTTTTCTTTGACTAACTCTTTCTTTGACTAACTCTTTCCCTCACTAACTCTTTCTTTGACTAACTCTTTCCCTGACGAACTCTTTCTTTGCTAACTTTTTTTTTGACTAACTCTTTCCCTCACTAACTCTTTCTTTGACTAACTCTTTCCCTCACTAACTCTTTCTTTGACTAACTCTTTCCCTCACTAACTCTTTCTTTGACTAACTCTTTCCCTGACGAACTCTTTCTTTGCTAACTCTTTCTTTGACTAACTCTTTCCCTGACATTCTAAAAGTCCGTAACACGGAAGTTTCTCCCCCTAAACTTCCTCTGATAATATTATATATAGTATTAGATAGTTATGATTATGTTGTTTGCGCCTTCTGCCTTGTGCAATGTATGCTTTTTTGTCAAGTCATGCGCTGCTAGCAGCTCGACATGCAAATATGCTTTGCGGAGACTCTGGATTTGATGGCAGGGGCCTTGCATTTGCAAAGGGTCTCTTGCAAGGGGAGAAGATAGAGAAGGGAAAACGTTTACTGCATTTACAGCTGTATTCCGGACTGAGCCTGCCAAGCCTGCCAAGCCTGCGAAGCCTCAGCCAATTTGCTGTACCGTTCGCAGTGGCCCTCTCAAGGCACAGACGAGGCCGACGGTGCCCTGCAAGATGCAACCAGTCGGAGTCGGACGAACCGGGCGAATTTTTTGAAGTGGAATTAGAAACAGAGGAGCCAGAAGCAACAATGGAAATACTGTTTGGAATGGGTGCCATTTCCTCATCGTTCTGCGAGCAAGCGGAAAAGGCACCGAGATTCAGGGTGATGGCTCAATTTGATCAGGCCATCGACCTTCCAAGATGTGCCGCTATTCTCATGAGCGCACTGGATCTGCCAGAATTGCCTACTGTGAGGTCGAAAGGGCTTGGCCAAGGGACGTGGATTGACCACTTTCCTTTATGTGATGGATTTGAAGTTCGCCTTCCTTGTCACAGTCGGGATTCACGAAGGAAAAGGACAGTCGTCTACCTGGAGGGCAGCACTGCCTTTGGTGCTGGTCAGGGTCTTGTTCCACTGATTCTGCATGATTCTACCATATTCATCCATATTCTACCTTCAATGGGTTCAATATGGTTCAATGCAAAACGATTGAAAACGTAGCGTAGTTGCTTTGTGTTAGTTCTGTTAGTTCTTGCCTTCTTGATCCTGGGCTCGACAGACTTGAAGAAAGTTTGGTGGGTTGTGGTGCTTGCGTTGCAGATGGACGATGGGGCAATGTGGTTGACAGCGTTCAAAACATGATTGCGGAGCTCAGGTGATCATCCAACGACCAGGGCTGCTGCTGCATTCTTGAAAGACAACGTATGTGCAGGTGTCGCTCTCAGAAAGCTGTGGTGGTTTCATGTGATTTCTAGAACAATTCCACCATATTCTACCCAAGCTTGGGTGCTCAGGTGACAGGGTCCTAGACTACGGAACGGGATCAGGTGTGCTGGCTATTTGTGTCTTGAACTGAGTGGCAGATTGTGGAAGGATTGAAGGATGCTCAGCAACATGTCACATCTGAATGACACACACGGAAACAGCATGAAACTCTGCTCTGGAGGGGCTTGGCAAGCAACTTTTGCGACTAGTGAGGCCGCTATGTGCAATGCAGAGCGAGTGCTTGGGCTCGACATTGACCCTGTCTCCATTGCTTCCGCTCGACGCAGTCTTGCTTTGAACAAAACCTTTGATGGTTTCGACCTGCAAGATACCGTCGAGTTTTTGAAAGTACCTGAAGATCCAGATGAAGCTTTACAATTTATTTCGTCATGGGCGCAGGACAGGTTCTGCGGGACATGCTCTTGAGTCATACCTGACTGCTGCCGCGTGAGTCATTCCGTTTTGAGGGACCACCTTCCAGTGAGAGCCAGTGTCGTGGCAATCTGCCCAAAATACTCGCAAGAGATGGCGGCGACGCAGACAATCTGAACAAAAGACGACGTGACAATTTATAAGATTGAGGATTGATTGACAATTAATCGCTGTAAGACAGACTCGTTACACGCATTAAACGCATTTACACGCCACGTGTTTTTTTTCAGAACCCCTGCCGCCCTTCCCGAACTGCAGGATGACTACGCTGGCTTTGATGTCATAGTGGCGAACATCCTCTACGAGCCACTGCTTCGTTTGGCTCACACACTTGCTGCAGTGGCAGTGCCTGGTAGCAAACTGTGCCTCACTGGCTTGAGGAGCGGGCAAACCGAGCCAGCTGAGCAAATTGAGCAAAGTGCCGAGCACATCCGGAAGCTGAGCAAAGTCTACGAAGAACTCGGCTTTCAGAATTTCTGCAGCAACGAGCTGAGTGCTGGATGGTGTTTGCTGACAGCCGAGAAAAAATCAGGCGCCTAAAGCGACTTTGCCGGTTGTTTCAACGCTAGACTGGTCAAGCTTTGAGATAGGGTATTGTATGTATTGCATCATGCTCGCAGGAAATTACAGGATGTGATACTGAACATATCTCAACATATCTCAACATCTATTGAATTTGGGTCAATATTTCTTTGCAAATTACCGCTGCGGCATTGTCAGCACGCGTGTTGTGCTCGGACTGACCGGACTTGAATTGCCTTGTGCTTGTGCAGTTTCAGGTTCAAAGGCATGTGGTTGTCAGTTCATTCTTAGGTAGGGATAGGTAGGGCAGGTAGGGATTTCCGGCGCTTTCACTAGCGCCATGAAACCAAACAAACATAGCCGCGGCGTCGGATCTTTGAGCTGCTTTAAGCAGATCATTTTCCCAATGGAGCCTGCACCCATGAAGTCAACCGTTCAAGCTGACTTCATTCACCATGCACACTTTGAACCAACCAAGATGGCGGTGAAGGATACGTCTTCCATTTTGACCAAGGATCAGGTAGAGGGAACATTTCAGGGTCTCACCTGCTATTTGGAAGATTACGCAAAGAAGTCAAATATGTGCCGCTCAACACCCTCGAGAACCACCGCTGCCCCTGTCTATTCCCGACATTTCCTGCAACATGCAGGAAGCGTGGCACAATGTGACAAATTTGCCACAACTTATGGCGAGCACTTTGCCCGTCGTGAGCCCGACGGTGACAGCAAGGGGCGTACCCTTGACAGCCATTCCTCGTCTCTAGGACCCAGGTGCAAACGCTTCGAAGGGCAAACAAGCTATGCTCGAGAGTTCAACAAACCTGAGATCATTGTCTCAGAAGCTACCAGAACAGGTGGTGACAATCAGTCTACCCTGACAGATGCTGCAAGAGCTTGCATCTTTGACAGCCAAAGTATCTACCAGGAGTCCTTCCTGAAACATAGGGTGCCAGGAAAGCAAGAAAATCTCAAGCCCCTGGGGGCACTGCATGGAGGACAGGCCTTTAGTGGCGCATCTGAGTACAAGACAGTCTTCACCACCTGGCCACGCCTCGAAAAATGGAGATATTGATGCGCAATCCCAATGTGGCGATGGTGACACAGCAGACTAGACCCTGCGTTCACAAAACTTCTTACACCTGTTCGTCAAAGCCGAAAGACATCGGAAGGCAACGTCTTGGTTTTCACAAAGTGTTTCACTTCTTGAGCCCCAAATCTGAGGCAATCCTGCATGCAAAATCGTGGGTTCTCGCCTTTCTTGTCTCTTGAGATCACATTGCATCGACAACCTGTTGAGTGTGGATCCGCATGTTTATTTTTAAACACAACGAACGAGGTCAGGGAACTAGTGGCAGCTATTCTCACAACATCCTATACACACCATTGCTAACATAGCTCCGCGAAAAGTTAAGTTGCCTTTGTGTTGCCTTATGTTGCCTTTGAGGCTCCAGGGGCCCGCAGGCATAGCTCAACAGCTCAGCTGAACAACTAGGCGGCGGACAGACCGCCTCAGCAATGCGATGAAAATGCAATGCCCTTCGTCTCGGTGAAGGCACTGAAGTGAAGAAGTGTGAACCAGGGATACAGAATGATACAAAGTTCCCATTGGCATTTCCATTGCCACGAGTCATGAATCATGAAATGAAACTGTGAAAGGTGGCACAGTTTAGCCTTGGTGGCACGCGTTGAGACGCTTGCCGAAGAAAGAGAGAGAGGATTAGAGAACTTATTCCTAGCAGTTCTTGAGCGTATTGGCATATTTGGTTGTCATATTGTCTTGATTTGTAATTATTGATTTGCAATGCTAATTCAATTTAATTCATGTGGACAATCCGTGCCCCATGCAGTAGTATGCAACATTATGCAGCTGCCGCAGCTCCGGCTCACAGTGGCCTCCACCTTGCTCTCATGGAGGTGTGTGGCCAGAGGAAGCTTCCACGCTAGCGCGGAGACATGGGCCAGGCTGGCGTGACGAGTGTGACGAGCCGGTGTATGGAGAGACTTCCCGACACGTGCACGGTGCAGGATCACGATCCTCACTCATCTTCTGTGTGGAAGAAGGACAGGGGAGAAAGAGAGGAAGAGCTCAGAGTGGAACGTGCCAAAAGCAATATTGTTCTAGCTGGGAGCGAGGAGTTCACCAAAATCCGAGTGGTCTCACGCCCAAGCTATCCCAAACTTATGGACAGCCTGGGCCAAATTGCAGTTAGTGCAGACAGAGTAGTTTTCAAGTTGGACCTGCACAATGAGCTTGCTCGAAGGGAAAACCTGAAGAACTACTTTGAGCTATGCACTGACAATCGCAGACTACAGGTCACAACGTCTTGCTTTGCAGCTTGGCGGAAGAGCAAGAAGCTCAATGGCTTTGCAAAGGTCATACCGGTTGCAAAAGAGACCGACGGATCTGACCTAGATGAAGACTTTAGGCCAGTCCGGGTCTTCTTTTTTGACGACAACTTGGAGTGGGGCGGCCGCGAGGACAGCCCTGGCATTTGCAACTTGAGGGATGTGGCAACCGGCAAATTTGTCAATTTTGCTGAAGGCCAAAACGGTTTCGTTCAGGAAAGGTTTGCTCGTCACACAGTCGTGCAACATAGCAAGCTATGGCGGGCAGTCCTTGTCAAGGCGAACATATTGGATGCCATAGAAGACCAGGAGTATTTTGCCAGGTTGATCACTCAGTTTTCCGACCCATCAGACAGACTGGTCGTTTTCATGGACGTGAATGCCACCATTGTGTGCAGTGACACAGTTCAGGGAAAGGACCTCTCTGTCACACTGCTTGGCACCATGTTTGAACTCCTGGAATTCAAGCCCAAGTCCCTTCCCTGCGATCTCCAGTGGGGGACTCTAAACCAAATCCGAGTGGACAAACCCAAGACCCTGAAGGGGCTGATCAAGGACATGACACTCGATGACCACGAAGCCTACACTCAATTTTGGGCTGAGAAGACGTGCTGGGACTTTCTGGCACAGGTTCTACCCAAGGGAGAAGTTCGCTGGGTCACTGGCACAGAGCCAATGACTGTGAAGTCAGTCCGAGATCTCTTCATGTCTTACCTCGAAGCCGTCCCTGGTGCTCTAGATGAAGATGGTATCACCAAGAGTTGGTTTCATTTGTATTCCTCAAAGCTGCATGAGCGGCACTCAACCGTCCTCAACTCCTTCGGAGTTGACACCAGGAAAGTGACGCTAGCTACCATCTCAGAAGAGAGAGACCTCCTCCACATAGCCATCAACCATGAGATGTGGGATGAGCGGGATGTAAAGAAATTTGCCGATCAGTTTCATTAGCGCCGATTCCATCTGGCAGTCCTGGCATTCGGCCTCGGCCGGAAGTCCTGGCAATGAGAGGGGTTGGCTTTCATGTACCGACTGCACGCTTCATTACTTTTGGAGACTAACAAACGTCTTTCAATCCTCCTGGGAATTTAGCCTAAAGAGTTCAGGACATGATGTCTTTAAAAAACTGTATTTTTTAAGGGACATACCTGGCCGGCCAAAAAAACAGTTTCATTCTTTAAGATATATACTGTTTTTAACGGTCTCCTATTCTTTAAGAGGTCTTCCTAGGAAGATTCTAGGAACTTGTTTTTCCCCACCTGCCAGGTGAGGGTTGTTAGATTTTATCTAAGTTGCCTTCTCCTCCTCCTCCTCCTCTCCTCCTCCTCTCCTCCTCCTCTCGTCGTCCTCCTCCTCTCGTTGTCCTCCTCCTCTCGTTGTCCTCCTCGTCTCGTTGTCCTCCTCGTCCTCCTGCTCAACTGCGACTCGCGATCCACAGTGTTCCCTGCCGGACCTCAACCACGACCATCCACGCCCAGTGTTCCCTGCCGGACCTCAACCACGACCATCCGCGCCCAGTGTTCCCTGCCGGACCTCAACCACGGCCATCCGCGCCCAGTGTTCCCTGCCGGACCTCAACCGCGACCATCCGCGCCCAGTGTTCCCTGCCGGACCTCAACCGCGACGCGCCCAGTACGCCATCCACGCCCAGTGTTCCCTGCCGGACCTCAACCGCGAGTATCCATGCCAAGTGTTCCCTGCCGGACCTCATGTAGGAAGATTTTTGCCAGATAGAATGCCAGAAAATATGCCAGAAGATATGCCAGATAGATATGCCAGAAGATATTCCAGAAGATATGCCAGATAGAATGCCAGATAGAATGCCAGAAGAATATGCCAGATAGAATGCCAAATAGAATGCCAGATAGAATGCCAGAAGATTTGCCAGAAGATATGCCAGAACATATGCCAGAAGATATGCCAGATAGAATGCCAAATAGATTGTCAGAAGATATGTCAGATAGAATGCCAGAAGATTTGCCAGTAAGAAAATGTAGAAATGTCATGGTGGGGATCACACGAAGTAAAGTAATTTGGATTTTTTTGTATGTTCATCAATGTTTTTGGGATTGTGTGTCAAATGAAAACCAGCTTGCCTGCCGCTTGAACAGATGCTCACAAGCAGAAGACGTGAAGGTGAGATGGAAGATGAAAACGTGATGAGTGAATGCATGTAAATGATCCCCCTTGGAATTTCCACTTTAAAAATGCAACAACCCGGGTTGTCGCAAAAAACTTTTTTTTTTAATGCAAAAACAGATGATTTTTCCACATGGCTAACCCGGAGTCCCCATTTTTTGCAAAGGTTTCCTAGGTCATGATTTTTTAGAGAGAGCGTTTTGAGGGGCAATAGACAAGCTCTTTGAATTTTTGCGATTTGCTAAAGCTGCTGTTGTGCGCCGGCCATCGTTTGTATCGCAGATGAGCCAAACAAGTTTCAACATTGACAACACATTTCAACTGATTTTTCAACAAGGACATTCTTCAGGGACGCCGGACTATTGCACATTTATGAGCGTTTGAAAACAGAGCGTTTGAAAATCATATGGTGTTATCCCTCTTGGAATTTTCCCTGGCTAAAACATAAGTCAACCCGGGTTATCAGTTCCCCCTTGATTCTTTAGAGATTTAATTTGGAACCCTGAGTTGAGCTTGTCAATGTTTAAAGTGCTGGCCAAAACATGGCTCAATAAACGCAACCAAACTGACACTAGATATGATAAAAGCAGCAAATTGCATATATTGATTTATACAAATAAATATGTTTATCGTTTTGCAGGATAGCTCTAAAGAATCAGACACCAGCTCGAACCCAGTCCAATTCTCATATCCAGACGTCCCCGGAAATCCCCAAGATCCCCAGGCATAACACCAATTGTCTCTAGAAGATCCATCGAAACCCACTGTGTCCGGAGGTAGGACCTTATTTTGTAATGGCACCCTCCCAAAAAATACCCCAAACGGTGAAAAATTGCCAGGTTTTGCAGGGTCGACACGCCCTGAGCCCCCAAAGAATCAAAACACCAGCTCAGAAAAAAACAGTGTTTTGGCAGGACCTGATTCTTTAAGGACACCCTTCCCTGTGTCGGAAGGCAGGACGTGATTCTTTAGTGGCACCCTCCCCAAAATATCCCAAGTTGTAGGGTCGACAGGCCTGAGCCTCTAAAGAATCAAAACGCCAGCTCGAACCCAGCCCACGTCTCATATCCAGACGTCCCCAGGAAATCCCCAAGATCCCTAGGCATAACACCAATTGTTTCTAGAAGATCCATCGAAACCCACTGTGTCCGGAGGTAGGACCTTATTTTTTAATGGCACCCTCCCAAAAAATGAACCAAACTGTGAAAAACTGCCAGGTTTTGCAGGGCCGACACGCCCTGAGCCTCTAAAGAATCAAAACAACAGCTCGAAAAAAACAGTGTTTTGGCAGGATCTGATTCTTTAAGGACACCCTTCCCTGTGTCGGAAGGCAGGACGTGATTCTTTAGTGGCACCCCCCTCAAAATATCCCAAGTTGTAGGGTCGACAGGCCTGAGCCTCTAAAGAATCAAAACGCCAGCTCGAACCCAGTCCAGTTCTCATATCCAGACGTCCCCGGAAATCCCCAAGATCCCCAGGCATAACACCAATTGTCTCTAGAAGATCCATCGAAACCCACTGTGTCCGGAGGTAGGACCTTATTTTTTAATGGCACCCTCCCAAAAAATGAACCAAACTGTGAAAAACTGCCAGGTTTTGCAGGGCCGACACGCCCTGAGCCTCTAAAGAATCAAAACAACAGCTCGAAAAAAACAGTGTTTTGGCAGGATCTGATTCTTTAAGGACACCCTTCCCTGTGTCGGGAGGCAGGACCTGATTCTTTTTTGTGGCACCCTCCCCAAAATATCCCAAGTTGTAGGGTCGACAGGCCTGAGCCTCTAAAGAATCAAAACACCAGCTCGAAACCAGCCCACGTCTCATATCCAGACGTCCGCAGGAAATCCCCAAGATCCCCAGGCATAACACCAGTTGTCTTTAGAAGATCCATCAAAACTCATTGTGTCCGGAGGCAGGACTTCATTCTTTAATGGCACCCTCCACCAAAGAACCGGACACCCGGGTCAAAGACCGAATACAAAGGGGGATATGTTGTTTACAATCAATTTTGATCAAACCAGAAAAATGAAACAAGAGGAGGCAGCCAAAGACAACGCTTTGGCAGAAGCTTCTGCCATGACAAAAACAGAAGCCGCTAATCTGGCATGGGCAAAAGAAGGGCAAATTTCATCTCCGGTGTGCAAAGGAATCATTTGGGTACGTTTGGTGTTTTTTATGCTTGTTGATGTCCACATGGCTAACATGGACGCCCTATTTTTTAGAGGTTTACTTTTGTATTTGTTTTTTTGTGTATTTTTTGTATTTGTTGTAGTTGGTTGCCTGGGCCATGATTTCTTAGATGGTCTTAGGCCCCTTGCATCCTAGGTAGGCATTCTTTAGATGTGCCATTTCAGTAGTGCAAGGTGGACCTCCGTTGTTTGTCTAAAGAATGCTGGAGTCCATGTGAGCAGGATAATTCCAAGGAGAATTGTAAATGCAAGAATTTGTGTTAAAACACCTTCCAGAGTTGAAGAATGTTAAAGATGTGCTTTCAAAATTCACCTAAAAATGCCTAATGAATTATAATAATCCTAATATGGACACAAATAAATAAGTCTATATGTTCTCATATGATTGCATGCGCATCTTATTGATGATGCTTGACTGCGCCGTCGTCCATTCGACTGCAACTTGGGTATCCAATTCTTTAAAGGGGCACCCCTTCGTGTGCAACTTGGGTCTCCAATCCTTTAAAGGGACATACCTTGGCTACTGTGTGCAATCTTGGTTCATTGGGGTTAGATTCTTTAAGGCTGAAATTTGCCCTGGTTCGCATTCTTTAAGAGGCTACCAGTGGTCCCTTAAAGATTCAGGGGTCAGGGTCGGAACCCGAATTGCAAGGGGGATGTCTTTCAAAACAATTTTAGTTACCAAACTGAAAGCCAACCTAAAGCACTGCAGCGATGGTCTCAGAACTTTCTTGATCAGCATTTCTGAACCTAAAGTAAAATCGCATAAAACTTCATCCACTACAATGACCGAGCGACTTTACCCGACAAACATACAAAATTGTACCTTGTGTGTCGCATGTGGCTCACGTAAAAGAGCCCGTTGAGCTGCCGCGCGCAGTGTCAAGAAGTTCGAAGTTTGCTGAGAGCAGCGGAGCTGCATCTCTTTGAGCACCCACAAAGCACGGAAAGCACAGCAAAAAAACACGGGTTCACCAAATGGTGAATTAGATGCCCTGTGCATGTGAACTGAGAGCCTTTCGTGAGAAGCAAAAACCGGTGTGCATTGCCAGGATGACACATGTTTATGTTTTGCGTGATTTACATATACATCATATATACTTCATTTACCTACATAAGTGCGTATTATGTCATATTGATGTGATATGGCCCATCAAAGTTGAACAGTTTTGACGCTTGAGCAAGTTGAGCAGTTGTGGGAGACACTTGGGCGCTGTTAGCTTGACTTTCTCGTCAACTCTTTCAGGCTAGTCGAGTGCTTTACCAGAAGGCCTAAAAGTCAGCGGAAAAAGGGCAGTCATGGGCAGTCTTATTCACCAAATTTTACCAATCAGCCACAGTGGAGTGGAATCCGTCGTTCTTCATTGCTAAGACTACTGGAGGAATCTTTGCAACACACGTGAAGTTACGATGAGCTGTTGCAACACGACTGGATGCAGTGAAGAGACGCTGATGACTTGTTCTTTTGTTGCCTCGATTTACCTAGGCAATCCTAGGCATCTGGAGATCCAAAGGCTCAAGGATTGCCGGAAAATGGCAGACACACATGCACCACATGCGCCACATTCGCCACAATCGCACACTCGCATAATATTTCATCTTATTTCCACAAGTCATTATGATGCCTTCTCCGTTCAAAATACAGTTTTAATTTCCTTCAGGAGCGTATGCATGTGCCTGAAGATGACAATACAGTCCAGCCCACTCCTGGATGGAAAGCCATACGTTCCATGCCCAGATTGTCCATCATGAAAAAATGGAGCTCACTGATGCTAGGCTTTTGTCCTTGGTTTGCTACATACAAGTATGAAGTAATACAACACATATACATGCATAGGTATACATATCACACACAGTCTGAAGGCGATGGAGAGAGAGAGAGAGAGAGATGTGTATATATATATAATATATATATATATGCACAGGATTGTATGGGTACATATATTATATATATATATGTTATATATATATATATGTTATATGTCTACATATACGTGTATATATATATGCACATATTTGTAGGCACACACGCACGCTCACGCAAATCATGGCTGATTTTAAGACTCAACAATGAATTGCCGCAACGAAACCGAAGGAAGCTGAAACAATTGCCATGGTTTGAGCTGACGCTTTGAAGTGCCAAGGCCCCGCCACCGGTGATATCATCCATCATTGGGTGTTCAATGACTGCAAGGCATGGCGGTAACAAGAAGAGGACTGCTAGCAGCACACAGGTCCCCAAGGACTCCAAGGACTCCAAGGGCTCCAAGGACCGCAAAGCAGGCGTATCAATAGCCTCTCGGGTCTCTGAGAAAGGCGGCGAAGCAAAGAGGTTGCGCAAAGACGCAGCTGGCGCCTTTTGGCACTCGATGGACACTGAGCCTGGCGCTTGGATAGATGTGCTCAAGGAAAATGGTGAGCTAGAGCTGCCGGACCTTTCAGAAAGCAAACATTTGGCCAACAAAGCCCCGCAAATCATGAAACTAACTGGTGTATCTCAGTTGCTGCTGAAGGAAAAGAGAATTCTTGTTCATGGTGGTTCTGCTTTTAAATCGCGCGTTGCCAAGTATGTGAACATCATCCTGAACAAGATCGTGCCAGATGACTACGCTGACAACGATTTCTTAAGAGTTTATGTGTCAGAGCACTTTGCGGATGGTTTGGCAGAGGACAGCGTTGTGGAGGTAGAACAAGCTGAAGGCGTCATCGTTGTAATTGAGAAGTCATCTCAGAAATCAACGGCTTTGCTGCCTGGAGATTTGGTGGAAGTAGAGACTCAACCTGGAGTGTGGGGAAGCATGGCCAAAGTGATGCAGGCTACAGAAACATCCCTCACAATTCGACACAGCCATGACCAGCGCCAAGAGGAGATGGTCCTTTCTCGCGTCCGGCGTGCCAGGTCCATTGCAATCTTTGGTCCTCGCAGATTGGCAGCTGCCATGAAGATCGTTGCAGCGTTTGAGGAAGAGTCAACTGGAGCACTTGGAGCCTTGCATGACAATCCCTACTTCCAAGGGCAACGGTTGGGTGTGATCTCTGAGGAGCTCCCGGTGAAAGCCGACGTCGTTCAGAGGTTAGAAAAGAGCCCTTTCCTGAAGCAGATCATGCTTGCCACAGGCTCTAGCATACGCTTTTTCATGAAGCCAGCTGGAACTGCCGAAGCAGGAAAGTCCCGCAAGCGCTCTGTCCCTTGCGTTCTGGCAGGGGGGAGCCTACAAGAGCGCTGGAGAGGCTTGCAGGGCGTGAAAATCATCGCCCTCGGAATGGAAGAAAAAAGACATCCGACTTTGCCTCCTGCATTGCTTGGGGATGCTCGACGGGTGAGCATTCCGACCGACATGGTATCGGTGGTGGTGGGCAAGCGAATGGAGTCGTTGCTGGAGCTCATGAAATCAACCAACACAGCGACAAGCTTGCAATGAGTATGCTGAGACGTAAGGCAACGCCCATGGAATGTATTATTTATGAATATTGATAATGTACGAAAAATGATATATCCGATGCGGAATAACGAGAAGCAACCTGATGTGGCAGTAGTGGTGTTCTGATGTCTAGTGACAACGCCCTCCACGTACACCCATGGTTGCAGAGATACGCGCAGATACACAATCACATGCAAAGACACGCAATGTTTGAGGCAATGCGGTGTTATGCCATGTGATGTGATTCCAGACATTAAAATGCAGCATAATCTCGCTTTGATTGGAAAGAGGGGAGGAGTTTCGAGTGTAAAGAATACCAGCACACTCAGCACACGTAGCCAGAGAATCAGGCAACAACATACATCAAAGTGCAATGCGCTTTGACTTGATATGATTTGCTCGCATGCATCATGGCATAGCAAAATCATGCGAGAGAATGCAGACGATTGTTGCCATGCAACCTGATGTGCATGTTTCGTCATGTTTCAATCACACAATGGCATGTGAGCAGCATCAAAAACCTCCATGAAGGGATTTAGTATTCGGGTTCATGTGGGGAACCCCCCGCGAAAGCAAAACCTCCACGCGCGAAAGCCGCGCGAAAGCTCCGCGAAAGGGGTGCGTCAAGGTCGAGCCGCGAAAGCAGTGGCGAAAGCAGGTAGATAGTAGAAGCACATTTGAATATTCATGTGCACCATCATTTACGGGCAATTTTCCGCGAAAGCAACCGCGAAAGATATTACGAAACACATGTCGCCGCGAAAGACAAAACTGTGCCCGCGAAAGAACCGCGAAAGCCGTCGCGAAAGCTTCTAAGGATTAGAACCAAATCGCTACCCGGTTTTCGACGCCGCTCATGTGGCTATATATTGGAATCACATGAGATATGGTGGAATGTGATATGTGCACATGTATGCGTACGTGTGCGTTCATGTGTGGAGTGATGCATGCTGGCATTCTTTGCGTTCTTGGATCTTGTTCTATTTCCATTTATCTTCTTTATTTGGAGCGTTCACTGCCCAAACGGCCTGGAATTTGGCACCGACAACAACAGACCTATTCAGAGAGTGACTGGGTGTATGTGAAACTACTGGGAACATGCGTGGTTCTACAACTCTTTTTGCCATTGTTTGCCAGAATTGCAGCGCTGAGGTAATAGTTCCGTTGAGGGAGAAAGCGGAAGAGAAAGACATGTTGTTCGAAATGATCCTGGAAGACACCGGGTCGGAACAAAAGACTTCTGAGATTGCCATCCTTGGTGAACCCAGCGCGCAAGCATTGGCAGAAGTCAAGGTGAGATCAATCGTGGAGAAGCACCACCCTGGCTTTGCTGAGAAGGAACCTTGGCACACAAGGTTTTTTCGTGTTTGCATTCAAGATTGAAGATTGAATCCGGCATTTCTCTGATCTGGCATTTTGCTTTTACATTCTGTGATGTAAAGCAAATCTTGCATCACTGTCTTGCAGTGCAGTTCTGGCAGTGAACATGTAGCACCAGCCCCCACCTTTGGCCCACCAGGACGTGAACTTCAACAACCAGGCCTTTTGATGCTTGCACTTGCAACGATGCCTTTCGGTGAACTTGAACATTCTTGTCGCAGATTCCACTTCAGAAACACTGTCATTTCAAGCAGTGCGGGGTAGATCGCCCAAAAAACGATCAAAAAACAAGGGGGGCCGGAGAACCCAAAAGCAAACGACAGCAAGCAGATGGGATTATATAATGATGGGTTGCTGGCACCTCCCTTCCTCCCCTTGCCAACAACATTTTACAATGCGAGATCATGAAGGCATGTGCTTGCAACATCTGCGGTTTTTTTCCCTCATCTGTGGACACAGTCTACGCCGTTGGCGACACTGTGGCCCGAAAGAAAGCAAGAGGGAGGAGACCAGAAGATAAGACACACGCAAATATGATGATACAAGATGAAGAAGAAGAAGAAGAATACGATGATGATGATGATGATGATGATGATGGTGATGATGATGATGATGATGCTGATGAACGATGATGAACGATGATGAACGATGATGAACGATGATGAACGATGATGAACGATGATGAACGATGATGAACGATGATGAACGATGATGAACGATGCTGACTATGGTGATGGTGATGGTGATGGTGATGGTGATGATGATGATGATGATGATGATTGCCCTTCTCCCCACCAATGTCCGCCCAGTCCCTTGAGCGCGCCGCACACTGTCCCGCACCGTCCACGAATCCACGCTCGCTCATCTCCAGCTGGCCCTCTCCTTCTTCCACCCATTTTGGTCCGGCATCCGTGCTGGCTCATGTCCTTCTCCCCACCCATTTCCATCCATTCTTGCGCCCACACAATCGGGACACGTCCACACGCGCTCATGCCAACCAGGCCCTTGTCCCCACCCATTGCCACCCATTCGCTTTCGCTCACACCGTCCGCACACGCCCGCGCATCCATGCTCGCTCATGCCCACGGGCCTTCTTCCAACCCATTTCTCCACCCATTGCACCCACACCGCCCGCGCTCATGCCCACCAGGCCCTTCTCACTACCAATTTCAACTTGCGCCCACGCCGTCCGCACTCCCCACACCCATTTCCATCCATCTCCTTGCGCCCAGCTCATGCCTACCGGGCCCTTTTCCCCACCTGTTTCCATCCAGATCACCCATTCTCGTGCGCCCACACCCTCCGCACACGTTTGCCCAAATCAGCCGCTCACGGTTAACAGAGCAAACTAGAACCCAAGGATCGAAGATTCTTTTGGGAATTAGAGTTCCTCGAGCTCCACTGTTTAATGACGTCCAAAACCACCTCCTCCATTGTACAGTTTCATATAATTTCGACATTGATTGAATGTTGGCCTTTTGGGGACCTGGCTTCAGCCATCCTCCTGGATTTCTTGCTCCTTATTGAAAACTTGTTTGTTCCTTGTCGATCCTTTTTGAGCAACTTCATTATCCATGCCAGGCTGCAGCTGGCTTCGGCGTTGAAACTATGCTTCTGGAAAGTGAGCTTGAACTTATCGAGCCTCAGTTGCACGGACGTCACTTGCACGATGGCACATTGGCCAGACCTGTTTGCAAGCCTTTTGCCGGCTTTTCTGTTGGGACTTCACGAGTTTTCTTTGCCTAAGCCCAATTTCATCTCTGATCACCATTCCCCAGTGAATCTCCACTAGATCCACTAGATACGCGTCCCCCCTGCATCTAGCCAGGAAAGTCGAATCGAACTTGCAAAGCAGTTCCTGAGCTCGCACGAAGAGGGATCTAAACCGGACATTTAATGAAGGAATGACATTTTGGCGACTTTCTCCTTGCTATGGAAGTGCCACAGTGAAAGGACACTAAGCGATGGCTAAGATTCACTTAGGTTATTCAGACATTAAGAAAAGGTAATGAAATTGTACGGTGCTCAGCTCCTGAGAGGCCTGAGAGGAACTTGAAATCCGTGCCCTGAATGTTTGTTTAGTCAGCTTGCCATGCTGGCTCCAAGGCTGACAGGAGCTACCGGCTGTTCAGTGGAAATTGCTGCCAGCCGGGCTTTCATTGCGGGCATGAAGACGGCCAGAGCACTTTGCCAAGAGTACATTTGCTGGGCGTTTTGGTTGCAATTCATTGCCCCGGTCAGATTCCGTGTTGATAGTTCATAAATATTCATACCATGAAATTCCAACCGCACCTGCCCTGTTCTCGAAAGTCGTGCTTTTCGTGTTGTATGACAATTCGACCGGCTCCTCCCCTCCCTCTCTCTCCTCTCTCGCTCTCTCTCCTTGTGCTTCTTTCTTCCGTTCCTGTTTCTTTTGTTTCTGCACTTTCCATACGTGTGGGTACTGCGTACCTTCCTGATCATTTTCTGGGCAAATGCCGCCAAGACTGGGAAAGCGAAGAAGAAACCAGCAGGGCTTGAGCGAATTCATTTGCTCTTTCAGAACTGTCAGGTGTTTGAAAACTAATGGACGGATGGCCAGAGAGCGTACAGGAGCAAGTTACTCAGGTGTAAGTGTAAATAGTAAAAACACAATGAAATAAGTATGTAAGAAGTACGTTATAATAAGCAGAAGAAAAGGCAATGGTAACGATGGAAAATATAGTGGTTGATCATCAGAAAGATGAAAGAGGCAAGATGTCAGGATGCTAAGATGAAAGCTGAAGAGACGTATTGAAGAATTTGTACTGATACAGAGCAAAAGCAAGAAGATAAACATTGCAAGGGAGAGGCTGTCTGAAGGAGACAGACAGGGTGGTAGGAAGAGAGTGAGGGAAGGAAAGAAAAAATGGAGAAGATGTCGGATGTGAAGATGTAACACAGACACTTAATGACACCCAGACAGACACTTTTACACACAGACGCTCTTACGAAGGAACGCTTTTACATACAGACGCCTTCACACACACAGACGCCTTTACACACAGAGGCTTTTTCACACACCCACTTTTACACATAGACGCCTTTACACACACAGACGCTTTTACACACAGACGCTTTTCCACACAGGCGCCTGTACGCACAGACGCATTTACACAGAGACACTTTTACACACAGACACTTTTACACACAGACGCTTTTACACACAGCAACTTTTACACACAGATGCTTTTACACCCGGACGCTTTTACAAACAGACGCTTTTACACAGATGCCTTTACACACAGACGCTTTGACACAAGAACGCTTGCAGAAAGTGCTTCTCAGTACTACTTCGTGCTGCTAAGCTTGCACAGGCGGCGAGAGGGGGCGAGAGAGCAACCAGTACTACTTCGTACTACAAAGCTTGGACAGAGCGCTTCCCAGTGCTACTTCGTCAAAGGAGGTTTAGAAGCCAAACTTCCGACAATATGAACGGATGGAGGAAGAGTCAGAGAGGAGAAGGGCCGAAGAGAGAAGATCAGAGAAGAGAAAGAGTGAGAAGAAAGAAGATGCAGGTGCGCGAAAAGGTAGGAAAGTTGTGTGTTTTTCCAATGATTTGTGGCTCCGAAGGGTCAAAAAGTAGGCTCGCTAAAGCGGCGATGAGAGATGAAAAGTTGCACGCCGTTGTGGCGCAAAGCACGTTTCCAAGTCAAAATGTACCAGACACACCAACGTCGGACCACTTTTGGAAGTTGAGATGTCGAAAAAGTGCACGCCGTTGTGGCGCGAAGCACATTCCGAAGTCAAAATGTAGAAAGCACGTCAGCCTCGGAGCACTTTTGGAAGTTGAGATGTCGAAAAAGTGTGCGCTGTTGTGGCGCGAAGCACATTTCCAAGTCAAAATGTGAAAAACACCACATGCTCGGACCACTTTTGGACGTTCAGATGTCGTTTCGCATGGCAGGCGCGGGGGATTCTGCACCTTGCCAAAAGTGAGCAAAACGTGAGGGTTTTGTAGCATGTCCAAAACGATGGCAGGACATTGGCAGAGGATTTGCAAAGATATGCAAAGATGCATTTCACATGGCAGGCGCAGTACAAGAGACATGTTCATCAGAGATGTTAGGAGGTCAGGGCGCTGATTTCCTGAGAGAAGCTGCATTTTGGAGTATCCGATCTTCAGTTTTGGGAAGATGATTTTGCGTGAGAGGTGCAGCACTTCGTATGACCTGGCATCACTTTTTCCTGGCAGGCGCAATACTTTAGACAGATGGAATGAAAAAAATCCTAAAACGCATTGGCACGAAGCCGTCAGCTCTGCATTCACCTTGCCATTTTCGAAGGAAGTCTCGCACAACTGCTTCGTTTTGATGCTGTCAACTTGAGAATGTGAGGAAGTCTCGCAGAATAGCTTCTTTTTTGACGTTGTCAAGTTCAAAAATTGAGGACGTCTCGCAGACTTGCTGTGTTTTTGATGTTGTCAAGTTCAAAAATTGAGGAAGTCTCGCAGAATAGCTTCGTTTTCAAGCTTGCAGATTGCAGCTAGACAGATAGATAGATAGATAGATAGATGAATAGGTAGATAGATAGATAGATAGATTACAACTACATTACACTACACAGCTACAAATGCAAATAAACTATGCTACATTACACTACGCTAACTTCTAATTACACTGCACTGCGCTACACTAATCACATCTAATTACACTACACTACACGAATTACACTACAACTACAACAACTAGGACTACCACAGCTGCAACTACAATTGCCACCTCACCACATTACACTTCACTGCAGCACACTACAACTACAAATTGCAGATGCGACTACAACTACACTACATTCCACAACACCACACTACACGAATTTAATTACATTACAGTTACATTACAACTACAACTACAACTGCAACTACACCTGCAACTACCACTAACTTGCACGACGCGACACTACACTAATTGCACTACACTACGCTACAACTACACTACCTTACACTACACTACTACACTACACTATACCAAACTACAGTACACAACACTGCAGTACACTACAATACACTACACTAATTACACCACACCACAACTACAACCGCAACTGCCACTGCAGCTACACTACACTAATTACACAACATTACGACTACAACTCCGCTACACTACACGCAACCACGACTACAACTACAAGTGCGCTACACCACACTACATCCAGGAGTTGTGGTGAGGTGACCACTGCAACACCTCCAAAAAACACAGTTCCAACCACCTTTCGGTCCATCAGTGGATTCGCTCTGCCATCCGTGATTCGCAACAACCAATCTCTCCTATAGGTTTCCCATTTTTGAAACTTCCGCCACCGCCTTGCGCGGTACTACTGGTACTACAAAGCTTGCACAAACTACTTCCCAGTACGACTTTGTACTGCAAAGCTTACGCAAAGTATTTCCCAGTACTACTTTGTACTACAGAGCTTGCACAAAACACGTTCCAGCACTACTTTTCACTAGAAAGCTTGCACAAACTACTTCCCAGTACTACTGTGTACTACAAAAGCTTGTGCAAAGTACAAAGTAGTAGTAGTAGTAGTAGTAGTAGTTTGTTCGACAGCTTGCACAAAGTACTCCCCAGTACTACTTCGTACTACAAAGCTTGCAGAAAGCACGTCCCGGTGCTACTTCGTACTACAAAGCTTCCACCGGGAGCGAGAGGGGGTGAGAGGGCAACCAGTACTACTTCGTACTACAAAGCTTGCAGAAAGTACTTCCCAGTACTACTTTGTACTACAAAGCTTGCACACGGGGCGAGAGGGGGCAAGAGGGCAAACAGTACTACTTCGTACTACGCAGCTCGCACGAAAACGTCGCATTAGAAATCAGCAGGCGAGAGGAGGGAGGGAGGGAGAGGGAGAGGGAGAGGGAGAGGGAGAGAGAGAGAGAGAGAGAGAGAGAGAGGAGAGAGAGAGGCGAGATTTAGAGATAGAGAGAGCGTATCGGCGCGAGCTACGTAGGCGAAGCGAGCGTTCCTTCGCTCGATCGACGCTCGCCCGCGCCGTCTTCTCTCGCTCTTCTCTCTCTCGCGCGCGCTGCTCGAGCTCGGCGGAGAGAGAGAGAGAGAGAAGAGAGAGAGAGAGAGAGAAAAGAGAGAAAAGAGAGAGTGCAACATCTGAAGATGTAAGATCTGCAGAGGTAAGATCTGCAGATGCAAGATCTGAAACACCGACCTGCTCGAAAACTATCGCCCTATCTCATTATTGAACTCTGTTTATAAAATATACATGATTATAATTAGAGGCAGTATGCAAGACATCCTCGAAGAACACTTGTGTGACACACAGTATGCAAACCATTTGCCCCACCTGTAGGTTCCAAAATATATCGGAACACAAAGGCACCAACATGATAATTACATATGAATTACTTTCTTAATCCTTCTTAGATTGGGAGAAGGCATTTGATGTGGATAGCACTACGTAGACTAGGAATTCATGACACCTTCGTAGAGGTACTAAAGGATTGTTACGCTAAGACTTCCTTTTTTGTTGAGGATGAATATGGAACTTCAACCGCAAAAGATACAGTCCGCCGGAATAAGACAAAGGTTGCCCACTATCGCCGTACCTATTCGTACTACTTATGTCCGTCGTGGATAGAGATGTGGTTTTGAGCTTACTTGACACTGCATACCAGAGGAGAAATCCGGCAGCAATGTGGTCAAATTACTAGACGGACAGAAATTGAACAGAGTGGAAGAAACAACCTACCTTGGACACCAAATGACGCAGGACATGGACGTGAAACCCGAGATGCAACACAAAATTCACCAGACACTGAAAACATGGTTCAAATTGGACACGTTCTGGAAAACAACAGTTCGTTCTAAGAGATGTAAGCTGTAAGTTTTTGATGCCATTATCAGAAACAAACTTCTCTATGGAACCTATACCGTGCACCACACAGACGCAACAAAAGAAATGAATGCATGTCAATTGCGGGGCCTACGTAAAACCCGGGGTCTCAGCACAACTTTTGTCAACCGTTCAAATAGAAACAAATATATATGTAATGCAAAGAGCACATGAAGAAATCGGCCACACATCTGGGACACCCAGCAAAATAAGACTGTTCTCGGAATTATTAAAAAATAGGCGAGTGAAGCTTGCTGGACATATTTTGCGATCGCGCAACAGTGATCCCTTGAGGAGCGTTAGTTATGAACGTAACTCAGCGGTTAACTACAACGTTGGGAAAAGAAGAGTGGGGGTTCCCAGACAACAGTGGCTATTGTATACTAGTAGATAGATATGTTTGGGAAAAAATTGAAAGAGGAACGTTCGACAATATTGTGGAACAAACTCACAAATTGTTGTGCAAGAAGCGGCTGATTTTGAGTATCGCCGTTGCATGCCCACGGTTTCACCCATGTGCCACGAGTCTGGCACGGAACCATGGCAGTCAAAAGATATGCAGATGTAATAATATAAGATCTGCAGAGGTTAAATCTGTAGATGCAAGATCTGAAGATGTCAGATCTGCAGACGTAACATCTGAATATGTAAGATCTGCAGACGCGTAAGATCTGAAGATGTAAAGATGTAAGATCTGACGATGTAAGATGTGCAGACGTAAGATCTAAGTTGCAAGATTTGAAAATGCTAGACGTGAAGATGTTAGATGTGAAGACGCACGTTTTTAAGACGTAATATCTGAAGTTGCAAGATGTAAAGATGTAAGATCTGAAGATGTCAGATGTGAAGACGTAAGATCTGAAGTTGCAAGATGTGAAGATGCTAGAAGATGTGAGACGTGAAGACGCAAGATTTGAAGACGTAACATCTGAAGTTGCAAGATGGAAGATGTGAAGACGTAAGATCTGAAGTTGCAAGATGTGAAGATGTAAGATCTGAAGATGTAAGATGGGAAGTCGTAAGGTCTGAAGTTGCAAGATGTGAAGATGCTAGAAGATGTGAGACGTGAAGACGCAAGATTTGAAGACGTACCATCTGAAGTTGCAAGATGTGAAGATGTAAGATCTGAAGATGCAAGATGTGAATGAAGACGTAAGATCTGAAGTTGCAAGATATGAAGATGCTAGACGTGAAGATGTTAGATGTGAAGACGCAAGATGTGAAGATATATGGTTTCAGCTTTTTTTTTTAGAAGAACTCTGCGTTCAGGCGCTCTCGGGAACAAAAGCTCCGTGTGTTGCGGCATTTCGCCCAGGTCAACAATGGCTTGCAGTCTCATGTTCCTGGCCTCAAACGGCAGGACACGGCGATCAGGTGCAAGGCCTTACAGGGAAATTGTGTTCTAAGGTGTGCTTCAAGAAAGTCATGACATATTCCATCATTAATGAATGGCAATACTATGGCAAGATATGGCAATAAAATAGCATCATATAGTGATTAATGATTATGACATATAGCACTTATGACATATGACAATAATTATGGCAAGATATGGAAAGTCCGAAAGCAGCTGAAACCTCCAAGTGTGCCACGACGTGCCACGATGTGCCACACGCGGTTCTGCCAGGTTGATCCTGAGCTCATGGACTTGCCTTGGTTGCAACAGCAGCTTGCAAGACTGGCCATAGAGACGAGTAGCGTCGCCAGAGCGCCTAGTTGGACCACTGCCGTTTGGAAAATAATGTTGGATAATGTTAAAATATGTTAAAATATGTTAGATGTGTTAGGTAAATTGCAGCTCCAACCTGGCAAAGCAGAAAAAGACTTCAAACATTCGATTCAAGAGGAGCTTCTGGAAACATAATGCAATGGTATTTGTTGACGCGTTGCCTGCCCTCCTATCATCTGTGAGACTCAATGATGTTCAGCAGTCTTGAGGCTTTCTGGGACATGGAAGAAGGCCGGCTGCCTGTGCAGCATTTCTCATGCCTTCAAAAGAAGCATGAACTGGTGAAGGCACTTCCCTGATCTTCCCTGCTCATCTTGTCAGGTGACACTTCAAGCGCTTCAAGGCGGCTAATCTTTGCAGGAACAGTCATTGCAGTGCGTCCAGGCGGAGTTCTGAGAGTCAGCGGTTGTCAGACTGAAGCAAGCTTGCTCTCGGGTGCTATCGGGTTCATGGTGCAGTCGCTGCTAACAAAGACCTGTTGATAAGGTGTTGTTGCAGGGCTGCTTGCAAAAGCTGACGCCTTGATCAGCAAAGCCGAAGAATACAAGGAGCTGGACACATACTGTAGAGCTTGGCCAACCAGCCAGCGGTGGACAAGGATCATTGTAGCCATGGCTGTAGCACACTCGTTGATCATTCGTTATACCTCTGACCCATCAGACTTTCTTCAACCCACGTTTTAAGGCCACGCAACAAGAAGAAGCTACTGGTACTGTAGATAACTGTCGGATAACAGTGCTTGATCGTGCCCTTGCGCACGGAAATGCTTCTGTTCAAAGAAGTGCCCATCACAAGCTTTCTCCATCTTTTTCAATGCTCCCTTGCTTTGTTGGGAAGTGTGTCTCACGGTGCAATCTACGTAAGGCCGTTGGCTCTTCCGTTGGGTCTTGGGTAGGAAGCACTTGGAAGGGTAGGTTGGATGAGAAAATTGCGGAGGTTTGTCTGTCTTGTGCGGCTAGAAAACAATGATGAACAAAGGCAGTCGTTTATTCATTTGATGAAGATAGAACGGACGGAGGGCAAACTTTGACGTGTGAGAGACACTATGAAACAATGAAACAGAACAGCGAGCAGCAAGGCGCGTTTGAATACCGACATTAAACCCCGTGACACAGCTGTAAAAACCTGACATCCAGGAGAAGAAGCTGTCGTTTGAAGAATGCTGTGAGGCAAGTCAAGCCGTCAAGCCTGTCATTATCCGTTCTGTTCAAGTTCCTGTAGTGGCCAAGACGCTAGATCGCTCAGGTCCAGTTGGTTTGAGGGCGATAGAGAGACAGAGAGAGGGAGAGAATTAATTATTTGCTTGGCTGATTTATGCAGTATTGGTTTTATTGACAGCCACCAGCACTGTTCAACATTGATATTATATGATATTTATTATTATTGATTGGAGTGGTTGAACCATTGAACATGTCACATTTTCACTGGGCAATGGAAAAAGGCAAGGCACGATTATTTATGACCAGCAGTTTAACTATATCTATGCATCTTGATCTGTCCTATATCTAACCCAAGGTACTTACCTTGTAAAGCCATGTGTAATTTACTGTACAGCTTTCCGTACAACCGTTGTACGGCTTGTGCTGGTGGATCTCCATGAGCTCATTTGGAAGGCTGACAAAGCTGCAAGGAAAGAACAAGCAGAGGAAGTGAAGGGGCTCTTCACGAACCGCTTCCAGGTGCACAGGGCAAGGGTGGCGGATGGTGGCGGCGAGATGTTTTGAAGAAGGAGAGTGCATGAAATGGGTTTTGCATGGTTTTGCTATGTTTTGCTCATTGATATGTGAACTATTCTTTCTTCTGATGGTCCTTGTTGCATGAATCCAGGACAACTTTGATAAAGTTCAAAATGTTCAAAACTTCAAGGGCAAATATCGGCGGGATGTTGGCTCACATTCCATATCTGGAACTTTATACTGGTGCAAAGCACCCAAGCTCATGAGCGACAATGATACGCTGTTGTCGGTGTATGTTTTAGGTTTATTTTTTTGCGGAAATGAATGATGGCGTATTCGAGATGAACCAAATGAGATTTATGATTGCAAATCTCATGCCTCCAAAAGCCTCAAATTTTCCTTGTCGGGGAAGCCAGAGCCTGGTATATTACAATACAAACATTCCAGAACCTGGGGACCTGCTGGAAGGAGGCCTGGTGGGAGGACCGCAACTAAAAACAAAAAAACAAAATATATTATTACATAAAACGGGACGCCTGTCGAAAAAGTGGGCGCCCCTGTCCGACACTTGTAGCCGGAATTGATCCAATACATCATGTAATTATGCCAAAAATCCCAAATTTTC